ACCCCTGATGGGGGTCATCTAACCTCTGCTTGAACATGTCCAGTGACGGGGAGCTCACTACTTAACAAAGCAGACTGTTTTATTTTGGACAGATTTTTTTTCTTCATGAGTGACAAAAGAAGCGGGTAAGTAGATTATGGAAAGTGACAGGTTGGAGGAGGGAGGGGAAGAGGAGAAAAACTTTCTTGACTATGTTTTGTGGTCTTTGGGAGCTTGTTTAGTGATGCTAGATATGGGTTTCAACTGTTTTCTCTTCCACCTTGAGTGAAAATATCTCTAGTCAATCAATGAGCCTGTGTTCTTGGCTGCTAGAGAGATATAAATTGTTCAAGGGAAATAGCCCTGAAGTTGGAATCGGAGGAGCTGTGTTGGAATACCCTCTCTGCTGCTAACCACTGCCCCGTGAGACCTTCAGCAAGTCATTTCTTTCTCTGGGTCTCAGCATCTGTAACTGAACAGCAACTGAAAAGGGTTGGAACAGGTCAGGAACAGGTAACTAGGGAAAAATGAACAGGATGTGGCTGCAGAGGCACAATGAATGAAGCACTGAACGTGGAGTCAGGAAGCTCTGAGTTCAAATCCAACCTTAGACACTTTGCTACCTGTCTGATCTTGGGTAAGTCATTTAACTTTTGTCTACCTCAGTTTCCTCAAGTGTAAAAGGAGGATAATAAGGGCAACTGCCTCCCAGGGTTGTTGTGAGGATCAAATGAGATATTTGCAAAGTGCCTTGCAAACCTTAAAGTGCTATATAAATGATAATAATTATTATAAGAGCAGTGAAATTTAGAGATTGTGGTCAACTCATGTACTCCCTTAGTTCCTGAGCTTAGCACCTAGTTAGCAGCAACAGTTAGTAGAAATAGGAAGCTACGAGATGGAACTTACAGAAGGATGAAATTTTTGAGGGTTTGAAATGACCAGAAGTGTGAATTGCATAGGCTTAAGAATCTTCCATTAAGGAAACTTCCTTTACTAATGCAGATTGGTTCCTGTTCTATAACATAGTCTTACTGAGTTGTCTGGAGGGTGCTGAAAGGCCAATTGGTTACTTGTCCAAGGTTCTACAACCTGCATGTTACAGAGACCAGCTCTTTATCCCTTATATCACAGTCTTTCTGTGAATTATTATTACAAGGATCTTTGTGGTCCATGCCTCCTGAATGGTACAGACATCTCCAATGGTGACCTTGGTGGTTAAAAAGTGAAGTCCACATTGAATGGAGATCCAAGTACGATTGACTAAAGAGTTTACCTTGGGAAAGAACATTTTCTGGGATCGGTGCCAACATCAGTAGGATGTCTCCTTTTGTCCTAAAGATGTAATCAACCCTTCTGGAATGCTTGGAGGTCAGTCTGTGTACTGTAACTCATACTTTGGGGAGTGGACAGAAGCAGCTGATGTAGTAGACCAAGATCTGAGTTCTGGACCCAGAGCCATAATTGACTTTCTCTGTGGCTTCAGACTAATCCTATTATCTCTCTCTCTGTGGTCCAGTTTCTCTATGAGTCAAATGGTTTAATAATTTCTGCTCCCCTCCCCACTCACCAGAGCTATTGTGAAAGAAAAATGAAGTAATAAAAGATATCCTAGAATTATAGAATCTCAGGTTTGGAAGAAATCTTAGAGGTCTCATCTTAGAAGTTCAACCCAGTGGATGTTCTAACATCCCCAGCAAGTGGCCCACCCACCTGCCTCTCTTTCAGGACTTGCAGTGATGGAGAGCTCCCTACCCCAAGGAGATATTGGAAACCTTTAATCTCATGTCCAATGCTAAGAGAGTTTCTGTTCTATTGAGCTGAAATCTGCCTCCCCAGTGGCTCCCCCATCTGCCCCATTGCTCCTGATTCTGCCCTTTGAGGCCAAGAGGAACAAATCTAATTCCTCTTTCATATGACCACCCACCAGATACTTGCAGACAGTGGTCTTATTCCCCTTACTACATATTATACACATAAAAAGTACCAGTAAAGGAGATTTTGTTTTTAGCCAAGGTTCTAGCTAATATTGGGATGCTTGTGGGCACAAAGGGAGGATTGGCAGCTGGTCCTGAGGGATTATTCAAGGTAGTCTGTGAATCACTTGTATGTGGCTGTATTCTACTGAGGGCATGTCAGCCAGGGTAATGGGCATAGGTAGGGTTAGCCATTTGTGTGTGAAGCTTTTAAATAAGTGGAAGGATTTATTTTTTATTTTTATTTTTTATAGAACTCAGCTGAAGGCATGTTAAGATAATCCTAACCTCTGAAGTAGGCTTCCCCAGCGGCACCATGGGAGAGAGAAAGGCAGAATGGTATAATTAATAACAGTAACTCTGATTTCTATAGCACTTTCCAGGTTTCTAAAGCATTTACTTTACAATAACTCTATCAGGTAGATAGGGCCAGCATTATTAACCCCATTTCACAGTTGAGAAACCTGAGGTTCAGAGATTTCCCTGGGGTCACACAGCAACTGATTATCTGAATTAAGACTTAAATTCTACTCTCCTTAATGTAAAGCCAGTATTTTGTTCCTGATACAAGATAGGAATCAAAGAATTTCAAAGCTAGGAGCCATCTCAGAGGCCCACCTGTCCAATTTGTGCCTGAAAGAGATCCCCTATCCAACATAGTGGCCAGGTGTGGTAGTGCTCACCTGTAACCCCTGCTACTGGGGAGGCTGAGGCTAGTGGATGGCATGAGCTTGGAGCTCTGAGCTACAGTGGGCAAAAAGCCTTTTGGGTGGCAGAACAATTTATACAATAACATCATAGAGGAAAGCAACTAAGAAGACTTCAGGGTGCTGATCAGTGAAATGACTGATTGTGATTTCAGAGGACCAATGAGAAAACGTTGTACCCATTCCTCACAATGAGGCGATGAATCAATGTGACATGATTTCAGGCATGGCTAACATGGGTTTGGTTTTTTTTTTGCTTGACTATGCATATTTGATAAAAGAGTTGTATTGGTTTTTCTTTTATTTTAACGTGTATGTGTATGTGGGGACTTTAGGTAAAGGGGGGTTCTCCATAGTTACCAAAATGCAAACAAAAAATAAGAAAAGTAAGAAAAGAGGATCATAAAAGAATTTTTAAAAAAATGTGTGGAAGAAAACAGAAGAAAAGCTCAGCAGGAAACCCAGACAAGCTGAACAACTTTGAAAATAACATGTAGGATTTATTAAATACTTGGAGATAGAATTAAGCTGTCAGTAGCACTGATTCTTTGCTACCTGTGCTCTCCTGTTCTGCTTTCCATATGGAAATGCTTGTGTGATTTGGTGCTTAAATTCAGAATGAAAACAACAACAACAACTAAAAATGAGAGGTTTAGACTAGATCTCTAAGGTCTATTCCAGCTTTAAATCTCTGATCATATGACTTGGATTCCTGTGTGATCATGGGAAAGTCACAAGAGTTCTCTGAGCCTCAGTTTCCTCATCTGTAAAATCAGGATAACATCTATAGTACCTACCTCAGAGAATTGTTATGAAGCTTTAAAAAAATCATGCATAACAAGTGTTTTTCAACCATTTCACACCAGTAGTTTCCTTGACCTGGTAAGGAAACCCCCTTTGTCAATGCAGATGGGCACCTTGTCTGTACCTTATGGCCTTGGGAGCTGCCTTGGATGCAGACAGGGGTGGGGTTTAAGTGTTCAACAAGAACCATTCCTCAGAGTGACTGGCCCAGAGTCACATGGCCTCTATCCATGAGAGAGGTGGGAATCCATGATTAGCTTTTTGCCTCTTTTTGTATTCCCAGCATTGAGCCCGGGGTCTGGCACATAGTAGGTGCTTAATAAATGTTTATTGACTGACTAATGGACAACTCTCTATCCATTTTGCCTTGCTGCTTACAACAAGAACAATAACAATGGGAGGAGGAAGCATAATAATGAATGTCAGTGCTGGGTTAGTAAGATCCTGCCTCAAACACTAAATGTATGTCTGTGGACAAGGCACTTAAACATCTCCCTGCCTCAGTTTTCTTATCTGTAAAATAAAACAATAATGACATGCACATCACAAGTTGTGGGGGGAGCAAATAAAATGCACACACATACATACATGCACACACATGTATATGGTATGATTATATATGTGTGTGTATATACACACACACACATACACACACACACATATGAAAATTAGGTGGCACAGTGCTGGGTCTGGAATCAAGAAGACCTGAGTTCAAACCTGGCCTCAGACGCTTACTAGCTGTGTGACCCTGGACAAGTCACTTAACCTTTTTTGCCTCAGTTTCCTTATCTGTAAAATGAGCTAGAGAAGGTAATGGTAAACTAATTCAGTATCTTTGCCAAGAAAACATGAAATGGAGTCATGAAGAGTAGGATAACAACTAAAAATGACTAAGGAGCGACATATACACACACATACATATATGTGTTTTAAGTCATTTGATTGACTTGCTATATAGTGATATACACACACATACACACACACACACACACACATATATATATAGTTCGCAGAGCAAACCTTAATGCACTATATAAATATTAACTATTATTATTATTAATTATTATTATTTAAACTCAGTGATTCCTGGTGTTCTCTGGGCCCTGCTCATTGTATCATCTGAAGCTTATTAGTGAAAGGTGACATGTTATTCTGGGCAGCTAGGTGGCGCAGTGTGTACAGTGTTAGGCCTGGAGTCAGGAAGACTCAGGTTTAAATCCAGCCTCAGACATTTACTAGCTAGCTGTGTGACCCTAGGCAAGTCAATTAACTGTGCCTCAGTTCCTTCATCTGTAAAATGAGTTGGAGAAGGACATGGCAAATGACTCTGCAACAACAACCTCATTCAACATATTCATAATAATTAATAATAATAGCTAGCATTATTTATTTTAATGCTTTAAGGTTTACAAAGCACTTTACACATATTTTATCACTTTATCCTCACAACCTTGGGAGGTAGGTGCTGTTATTATTTCCGTTTTGCAGATGAGGAAATTTGATGCAAACAGAAAAGTTAAGTGACTTATCCAGAATCAGACAGGTAAATGGTAATTGACTTAGACTGGATTTAAACTCAGGTCTTTCTGACTCCAGGTCCAATGCTCTGTCCATTGTGTGACATAGCTGCCTCTATGTTCATAGAACATGGGACATCAGAGCTAGAAAGACTTGCAAATGTAGAATATTAGAATATTAAAAGTTAGAATTGGTAATGACCTTAGGCTAGATAGTATCAGAGTTGAAAGGGGTCTTAGGACATAAAGCTTCAGAATGTGGGCTATAGAATGTCAGAACTGGAAGGGACTTAAAAACATAGACTGTGAGAGTATATGTAGGGGGTGGGGGGCAAGAGAACCTTAGAATGTCAGAGTTGGGAGGGCCCTTAGAATGTAGAATTTTAGAATTACGAGGAACTTTGGAGATCACCTAGTCTTCCTGCCTCATTTTAAAGCTGAGTAAAATGATGACCGGACAGAAATGACTTGCCCAAGATCCTGAGCTGAGGCAAGGAGTAAGCAAGATAGGCAACCATTTAATTATAACATCCAAGGTTGTGTTGGAAGTGAATGAGAGACATTTAAAGCGTGGCCTTTATAAAAATAATTCCCTATATCTTTGACACTAGAAGGCTCTGCTCTCCCTGGTTTATAGATAGTCGTTTTGTGGGAAGTCAAGTGACCCATATCTCATTGAAGGCTCAGAGCCTTTAGTGGACAGTGACATTGCATGGAGGAGTTGGAACTCGATGGATGGGTAAGATTTGGATGGGGAGGGAGTTGGGAGTTTGTACTGTAGCCATGTTAGTCACCAGTACAGACCACTTGGCATGGGGACACTGGAGAAGGGAAAGGGGTCCAGCCATACTTTCTCCACATGTAGCAGTTAGCTTCTTTTGCTCATCCTTCACACTAATTTCATCCCATAGAGTTACAGTGGGAAGAACATCATCCTTGCTATGCTTCGAGGCACCATATTGGGAATGGATAGAGAGATAGAAACAACCTAGTTCCTGCTCTCAAGAAGCTCACAAGCAAAGGTAGGATGCAATGAGTACATAAAAAAGCATGTGATGCCAGGTTGACTGTGGTTAAGGGGAAGGAGAGACCCAAAGTAATAAACTGCGTTTATTCTGAGTTCATTGGCCATTTTGTGTTGCTTTCATTTATGTTATTATAGCGATTGTGTATATTGTTCTGGTTCTACTTACTCTGCTCTGAATCAGTTCCTACAAGTCTTCTCATGTTTCTCTGACCTCTTTGTGATTGTTTTTTTTGGTGGCATAGTAATATCCCACTACATTCACATACCATAGTTTGTTCCACCATTCCTCAATTGATGGGCAGTCATTTTGCTTTCAGTCTTTTGCCGCCACCAAAGCACTGTTATTAATATTTTGGTGTATATGAGACCTTTTATGTTGTCTGTGACTTCCTTGGAGCTCATGCCCAGTAGTGGAATCTCCGGGCCAAAGGGTGTGAAAAACTTAGTGACTTCTCATGTAGTTCCTTTGGGGTCTGTTGATTACTGATTGTGATGTTTGGTGGGGGGGTGGTAGAAGGAGGGGATCTCTTGCTGCAGCCCCAGCGAGGAGCAGCTATGGACAAGATCCTGGAAGCTGTGATGGTATCTTCCTACCCCACCAACGTGAAGCAAGGGCTGGCACGGAGGGTGATCGAGGCGGCAAAGCAACCCATGGACAGTGCGCAGTGCTGGGCCATGCTGGAGCTGTCCACCAAGCTCTTCCTGGTGGGCGACACCAAGTTCAAGCGGGAGATCGGGCAGGAGGTCCTGGAGGTCTATGGCCGATACCACCTAGAGGCCTTCCTGGAGTTCTTTAATGCCCATTTCCTCCTGACTCTGCTCCAGGAAGGCTATGGGACCCCAGGCCACCCCAGCCCCTATGTGCTGGATTTCGTCCAGCTGGGTCTGCAGTTCATCCCGGAGGGCCCGGTGGCCGAGGGTGTCTTTGCCTTGCTCCGCCTAGAAGTCCTGAGAAAGGTGTGTGAACGGCCTGGGCCCAGGCAATGTGCCAAGGTGGCTCGCCTCCTGGGCCAGTACCCACGCTGCATTCCAGATGGCAGACACCGGCTGCTCTTCTGCCAGCAGCTGGTCCGCTGCGTCGGGCAATTCCAGTGCCTGGCAGAGGGAGAGGAGGGCATTGTGGAGTTCTTGAGCCATGTGAATCGAGTGAGTGGGCTCTTGCCTAAAATTTGGAGGGCTCAAGCCTCATCCATCCTGCCATCCCTAAAGGAGCTGTTTGCCATCATCTCCTCCACAGGTACTCAGGGTGGGGGGAGGGTTTGTGGAGAGAGGACTGGTCAGTGGGCACAGGAAGCCATATGTGTCTTGATATTAAATATATACTGGAGAATGTCAGAGCTATATAGGACTCCTCTAGTCTAGCTTCCTCCCATCTTGTCATTTTACAGATATGGAAACTGAGGTTCAGGGAAGTGTGGAACATCTTTTTCCAAGTTCATATAGCTTGCTTGTTCTGAGACTAGGACCCGAATCTCTTAACTAGGGTCAGGGCTCTTTCTATACTGCCACTCACAAGTAGACAAATGTGACCTTGCTCACACTTCCCCACACATACGCATGGAGGGGCACACATGTGCCTTTGTGGACCATCACACATGTCTGAGAGCATTTTTGATGATGGAGTGAGGTCCAGAATGATGATTTCATTAGCCTGGGGAATTTCTAGTGTAGAAACTCCTTCCACCAATCAATGCAGATTAGCAAATAACTGTTATCAATCAATTAATAAGCATTTATTCAGTGCTTACTTTGTACCAGGCACTGTGCTAAATTCTGGGGATACAAAGTAAGGCAAAAACAGTATCTACCTTCAAGGAGCTCACAGCCTAATGGAGGAGACTTTTAAAAAAAAACCATATAAATAAACACAGACAAGATGGAAAATAGGTCTCCTGAGGAAGGTGAGAATTGTCTGGGGCACTGAGAAGTTAATGCATGATCCCCAAACTAGTTATGTGTCAGAGTTAAGACCTGAACCCAGGTCTTTCTGATGCCAAGGCTGGCCCCCTGCCCACTTCATCAAGCTGCTTCTCTTGAGAGCCACATGGACTTGTGTGTAAACATATTTAGTATTCATATATGTGTAAAGACATGTATGTGTGTGAGTACCCTATCTAAAATATGAAATTCTTTATAGCCTCTCCTCTGATTGGATGTCAGGTGGTCCAATCCTATCCACACTAGCTGTATGATCCCAGGCAAGTCATGCTTTGCCCACCGCTCATCGCTTCTTCTACTGATTCTCCTGCTCTACATCTTGTGGGTGTATTATTCTCCTTATTAGCCCAGAAGCTCATCGAGGCCAGGGAACACATCATTTTTTTATCCCCAATGCTAAATACAGGGTTTTGCACTTGATAAGTGTTTGTTGAAATGAATGGTAAGCATTCTGCTTCCAGGGAGGGCCACAGCCCTAGCTAAAATTCCAGGGCTTCTGAAAGGGGCTTTCTTCCTGATTACCACGCTAGCTCTTTTTCAGATAGAATTCTGCCCTCATTCTGCTTCAGCCTTCTGCCTCACAGAAGCCAAGGGTTGTTCCTGGCAACATGGGGAAAATGGAAGGGATGATGCTTGGGTGTTAGCCAAATCCTATTTTTGCCTCATTAGCTGTATGAACCTAGGCAAGTCTTTGCTCTTTTTTGAACCTGAGTTTCCTCACCAGTAATATAGTGGATAGACAGACAGACAGACAGATATTTATTAAGCCTTTACTGTATGCTAGGCACTGTGTTAAGTACTGGGGATAAAAATAAAAGAAAGCAAGACAGTCCCTGCCCTCAAGGAGCTTACATTCTAATGGGCAAAGACAACACATAAAGAGAGCTTGAAGGGAGAAGGGATGTTGGAGGCATGGGTTGGAGATAGCCAAGAAGTGATATGGGAGCCTGGATAAGGTGAAAGTTCCCCTGTCCAAACTCAGGGCAGTTCCAGGAGTAGAGGGAGGGAGGGAGTGAGGAGTAGGTGACTTGTTTGGAAAATGACGTGCATGATAACCCTTTCACTGTCTGACTCACAGGGTTGTTGTGAGGCAAAAGTGCTTAGTAAGCCTTAAAGTTAATGACCTTGAAGGTCATCCTTGTTGTTGTTCCTGACAAAGTAGAGTCAATCTGAATTATTCATTCAGCAAAGCTTCTAGCCTCAGCTCTCGCTAACCAAGGGAGGCTCATGAAGAAGGAAACAGGCCCAGGCTCTGGCCTGTCCCCATTGCCCGTTGGTCAGTGTCCGCCGCTCGCAGTGCACACAGTCTGATGTGGACATGGAGGGAGGCACACCCCAATATAACTCATGTGTAGTTAGAACAGAGACACAACACCAGCATGCACGCACAGCACATGCAAATTGATGGCTACGTGTGCATGCGTGCGCGCACGCGCGCACACACACACACACACACATGCACACACAAGTTACATAATCCACTCAAGTCAAGCTATGCCAATCAACCTGTATTAAGGGCTTAATGTGTTGGCATTGTTCTAAGCACCAGGGAAGCAAAGAAAGGCAAACACACAGATAAACACACACCACACATAAATATAAGTTTGACACACATATGCAAAACCAAAGCCCATACAAACAGGCATATATGCAAGCATACACGTAGATACTCAATTTGCTGACCTGCTTTCAAGGAGTAGCAGCCCTTTCTGTGTCTGTACATGGGGTGTGTGTGTGCGTCACTATAGATACATAGTCATAAAGCATATCCTTATGCTACACCCACTTCCACAGTCCAGTTCTCTCTCATCTATATCCCTGAGGTTTACTTTCTCTGCAGTCGTGAGGGAGGTAGGTAGAATACTGCACTAGGAGTCAGGAAAAACAAGTTGGACTTCTGCCTTAGAACCTTACTATCTCAGTTTCCTCATCTGTAAAGTGGGGATAATAATAGCACCTACCTCCCAGGGCTGTCAAGCAGCTCAAATAGGATAACACATGTGAAATGCTTTGCAAACCTTTCAGCATTATCAAAATGCTAGCTATTATTGTTGTTATTAATTTGGAGGTAGGTAAAATTTCTCTTCGGTTCCCTCCCTCGAAGGCCTGCTTAAGCCCCTTCATACCTCTCCAAGCCATCCCCCAACCACATCCTCTGCTCACCAGGGCCCACCCTCTATATACGCCTCCTCAAGCCTGGCTCTCAGCCAGCAATCATTGAGATGGAAATTTGGCAGGTCCTGTGCTTATACCCAGTGACAGCCACTCTTATAGCCTGTGCAAGGGTGATTATTCCCACCTTACAGATGAGATAACTGAAGTTCCCACAAGTTATAGGTCATAGAGGTAGAGCTGGGAGAGACCTCAGAGGCCACTCAATACAACTTCCACATTTCACAGATGAGAAAACGGGCCCTGAGAGGTTGACTTGCTCAGGATCACATAGCCAGTGAGTACCTGAGGTGATATTCAAACCCAGGTCGTCTTAGCTGCAAGTCCCTCTCTCCATCCCAAGTCTCTTGGTTCCAAATGCAATACTCTTTCCTCTGTTCCCCCCACCGACACCCCCCACCACTGCTTCTTATATAATAACTGTTTGCATAAGTGTTTGACAGTCTGCAAGGTGCTGGGTATCCTTTTAGAGGGAACAAGACGGAGGCCTAGAAGATAAGCTTTGGTATATGAATAAGTGGTATGCCTTGTGATTCAGTGCTGTGAGAGCTTCATCTGTTAAGCTGGATTAGATGACCTCAAAGATCCTTTTCAGCTGTGTGACATTCTATGTCCCAGGCTCGTCCTAGCTCTGAAATTTTATGTTCTAAGGCACCTCCTAGCTCTAATATACCATGTTCTAAGTGCCCTCCCAGTTCTGACATTCTATGTTCTAAGTCCCCTCCTAGCTCTAATATACCATGTTCTAAGGGTCCTCTCAGTTCTGACATTCTCTGTTCTAAGGGCCCTCCCAGTTCTGACATTATGTGTTCTAAGGCCTCTCCTAGCCCTGACATTCTGTTTCAGGATTCCTTTAAACTCCATCTTTCTATGACCCTGATTAAGCTTTGTATGTATATATAACCTCAGTATAGTTGGTGAGGAGGATAGGAGGAGACATTGGGTTTGTAGCCTAGCTCCTCTTGAAGGAGGAGGCTACTGTAGATGCCAGGTACTCTTTAATTCAATTTAATAAGCATGTATTAAGTAGGTACTGCAGGCAAGGCATTCATTGAATTGGGGGTGAAAGACCCAAAGACAGAAATGGAAAAGGGTCTTCATCCTCTAGGAGCTTGCACTCCGCCTGGCTTGCCTTGAGGTTTTCTTTTTTCTGTCAGTGGGGGTTGGGGAGCAAAGTGGGGAACGGGCTAAGGGTCTGGGTGGATGTCTTTGCCTCAGCCCCATTTAGCTCTGGTTTCTGCGTTGTTCCCCAGAGGAGCAGGAGCCTCCCTCCAATGCCCTGGCCAGCGTTGTCCAGTATGTGCCTCTAGAGCTTATGGACGGGGTGATCAGAAACCTCACGAATGATGATAGCATCACAGATGCCCAGATGATGACAGCTATCAGCAGGTAGGAGACAGCAGCAGGGAAGAGGGGACTGCTTCACCAACCCTGAGGAACAGGGAGGGCTTTCTGAGCTTTGGTAGGGGATGGGGGCAGAGGAGAAGGGGAGAAGACAAAGAGGAGGGCAGGGTTTTTTTCTCTTGGCAGGTAGCCCCAGGAGAACCAGGTACTAGTCACAACTCTGTCACTTACTGGTTGTATAACCTTGGGCAAGTCACTTTTCCTCTCTAGGACTCAGTTTCCCCTTCTGTAAAACGAGTTGACACCAGATGATCCTTAAGATCCCTTCTACCACTAATATTCTTGGGGTTCATGATTCTATTTTGTCCCTCTGCTGTGAGGCCAGTGTGTGATACAGAACTTCTCACTGGCGCACGCTTAGCTAAGACTAGATTCTGATGAAGCCTTCTCTACAGCCTTCCTAATACAGAATGGACTGCTTCGTAGAATAGTGAGACTACCATTTCTCAAGGTCTTCAAGCAGAAGACAGATGACCACTTATCAGGATAATATAGAAATTCCTTTTTAGACATGAGTTAAACTAGATGCTTTCTGAGATTCCTTTAAGCTCTGTGATTCTGGAGAAGAGTACTAGGCCTTTCCTGATCCTTTCTTTCTGTCCCCCCATCTCTATTGTTCTTTAGGGCCTTCCCTCCTCTAGGCTAATGAGCTTGTGATGTTTGTCATAGCAAGAACATGTCCTTTTATATTAAGGGGATTTGTTCTGTGAAGTTTGGATTCAGGCAGAGGGTTACACTTGAGGATCTAGAGGACCGCATATGGCCTTGAGGCCTCAGGTTCCTCACTCCTGGTATAGAACTTGAATCAAAGACTACATATTGTGGTTTTCTACCAAATGACTTATTATACAAATAGTCACTGATGACTTACCTTTGCATAACATATTCAAAATGATAATGAAGTATGCATTGTAGGATTTGAATTTTAAAAAAAACCTACCAAGGTACGATCTAATATTTTTCTCAGTAAACTTCAGTTATTATCAGTCATTCCTTAATTTCTCCTGTTTTAAAGAGAATTTGTTGACTCTTCTTCTCACTAGTAATTCTGAAACTTAGCTTTTATTCTGCTGCTGACTCTTTGCCCTAAAACTTATGTCTGACAGTTTTCTACCAAATAACAAGAAAGACTTTAGGTCTCCTTGTCCTGTTCTTTGTATTTTTTCTCTTTCATGAGCAGAACAGAAAGATCAGATAACTGCCATAACACGTATATTACAACTAGAACAACAAAGACAACGGGCAATGATGACATACAAATTTATGAAATGTTCAATGTTGTTTAAACTTGGTGTCCATGGGGCCTTTCTTTTCTGCCTTTGATCTCCTTGGAGTATGTGGCTTACAGTGGGAACATTGGTTCAACCACCTTTTCTTGCATAGTTCTAAATTATTTTCCAGAATGATTGGACCAATTCACAGCTCTACCAGCAGTAAAATCTTCCTCCAGGCCACCCCTTAATATTGACTGTTGTCATTTTTTTCTTTGGCAATTTGCCAAGTGAACAAAACCCCAGAATTGCTTTAATTTGAATTTCTCTTATGATCAGTGACTTGGATCATTTAAAAAAATATGGTCATAGCTAGCTTGAAATTCTTCTTTTGAAAACTGATTCACATCCTTTGACTGCTTGTGTTCTGGACAATATCTCTTCTTCTTACATATTTATGTAAGATATAACACATTTATATCTTTATATTTATATGACATATTCATATAAGATTCTGTCTTTGATAGCAGACTTTTATTAGTAACATTTTATACAAAATTGTGTTTTTTCTCCACTTAGTAATTTCTCTTTTTATTTTAGCTGCTTTGATTTGATTCATGCAAAAGCCTTTTAATTTTATGTCATCAAAACTGTCTTTTGTGATCTCTCTTCTTTGCTTAGAAATTCTTCCTGTAGCCATATTTTGAAAGCTATCTTTTGATTTCTTTTCATCTTTTATATCTTTTTAAATATTTTTCATATTTCTAAGAGGCAGCATGGCATAGTGGCTACAGAGCTGGCCACAGGGTCCAGTACCACCTCTGTGAGACCCTGGACAAGTCACTTTACCTTTGTCTACCTCAGTTCCCTTCTCTGTAAAATGGGGATAATAGTAACACCTATTTCCCAGGTTGTGATGAGGATTAAATGAGACAGAGTCTAGAGGTATGCAGGAGGGAGGACTCACTTCTAATGGGGGTGAGAGTAAGAGGAGCTATTTAACTATATATGTTATATTATTTGATCCTTATAAGCCAGGGTTATGGATACTCCAGATGTTTTTATCACTATTTTTTAAACGTATTTTTACATTAGTCATGTTGTAAAGAAGAATTAGGGTCAATAGGAGGAACCACAAGAAAGAAGAAACAAAACAAAACAAAACAGAAGGAAAAAAAGAGCAAATGGTATGCTTCGATCTTCATTCCGACTCCATAGTTCTTTCTCTGGATAGCATTTTCCATCATGAGACTTTTGGAGATGTCTCAAATCCTTGCACTGCTGAGAAGAGCTAAGTCTATCAAAGTTAGTCATCTCACAACATTGCTGTTACTGTGTACAATGTTCTCCGTTTCTGCTCTCTTCACTCAGTATCAGTCCATACAAGTCTTTCCAGGTTTTTCTGAAGTCTGCCTGGTCATCATTTCTTATTGCACAAAAGTATTCCATTACATTGATATACCACAACTTGTTCAACTATTCCCCAGTTGATGGGCATCCCCTCAATTTCCAATTCTTTGCCACCACAGAAAGAACTGCTATAAATATTTTTGTGCTATTGCTGGGTCAAAGGGTATGCACATTTTTATAGCCCTTTGGGCATGGTTCCAAATTGCTCTCCAGAATGGTTAGATCAGTTCATAACTCCACCAACAGTGCATTAGTGTTCCAATTTTCTCACATCTTCTCCAACATTTATCATTTTCCTATTTTGTCATGCGAACCAATCTGATAGGCGTGATGTGGTACCTCAGAGTTGTTTTGATTTGTGTTTCTATAATCAGTAGTGATTTATTATCACCATTTTATAGAGAAGGAGATAGAAGGCGAGAGAGTTTATGACTTGCCTGTGATAACACAGCTAGCAAGTCTTGGAGGTCAGATTTGTATCCAGGTATCTCCCTGACTCCTGACTTCTTTCTACTGTACCACAGAATCAAAGCAGTGCCTTCATGGATAGTTAAGTTTTTAATAAATAGAGATAGAGAAAATAAGGAATATAATGTGAGCAAAAGCAGGGAGGTAGCAAAAGCAGGATGTCTTTGGGGAATAGCAAATAGTCTAGTTTAACTGAAATGTGTGAGGAGAAATTCTGGAGGTGACCCTAGAGATGTAAACTAGGCACAGGCTTGAACGCCAGAATGGTTCCAGTGCACCCCACCTCACGGTCAAGTGCCCACCCCTGCCCCTGGCTGTTTTTCTCTTCCAGCCTGGTTGTCTCATCGAATCATCAAGCTGGAAAAGACATCAGAGGTCACCTAGCTCATTCTTTCTCCCCATGCAAAAATCTGATTTGCAGCATCATTATTGATAAGGGGGATGGGGTTGGGGAGTCAGAGTCTATCTGAACCCTTCCAAAGACAGGGAGCTGACCACCTCAGCCATCTGATTATTGAGAAGTTCTTTGCATTGATTGAAATCTGCCTCCCTGCAACTGCCGCTGATTTTAGTTCCATTTCGTTAAATCTAGCAAACATTTATTAATCACCTGCTGTATGAAGAACCCCATGGTGGGCTTCCAGGTCCTCAGACTATGACTGGCACACCATGAAGAATAGGAAAGGACTCATAAGGGTCAAAGGCTGTGGCTTACCTTGTAACAAAGAATCCTAACCCAGCATTTGGGTCTGTTTGTGCTTAAGTCCTCAGTAGGATCTTGAAGCCCACATACGGAGCATAGGAAAAGCCCTCCAGGGGAACAGAGCCCTCAGAGCCTCATTACTCTGCCACAGAGAGATCTCACCTGGCTCTCTTGTCCTCAGTCAGCTCTGCATTAGGAAAATCAGTTTAGCAATCACCAACCAGTGTTAGTTTTGCTTTTATAAGCTAGTTACAAGTAACCTTAGAATGGGAGAGAGGAAGATATCTTTGGTAAGGTTAGTCACAAGAGCTGCTACCCTTTTGCTTTCATAGTTCATTTGCATTGCCTTCCCAATTAAGCTAACATAGACACTGAGGAAGACTAAAAGCTTAGCTAAGGTGTGGTCCTTGCCCCATGGAGCTTATAGCCTAAGAGCTTTGCCCCACAAGAGGCCAAGCAGAAGTAAATCTGCTCCACACAGCAGCCCTTCCGATCCCAGTATGTCCCTCCCCACATCTTCTTCTTCCACACCTTCTCTTCTTTAGCTTTGACATCCCATGGGACTGTTGGTCCTGATGTAGCCCCTCCCCAGCCTGGTCATTTTCCCAGGCATGTGCTCATCCATGGCCTTCTAAAATGTGTCCTCTTTCTCCCTACTCCTTCCCCAAGCTGGGGCCTGAGTAGGGATGAGGATTTCTCCAGGTAGAGTGGAGGCACATGTACCTGACCCTGCAAGGACTGATGGTAGATACTGAGTCTTCATTCCCCTAATGAGGCTCAAGGGGCTGCCCATGCTTGGTTTCATCCTGAACTTTATCTAAGAGCTGGAAGGACTAAAAATAGAAGCCCCAGCTCAGCAGCCCCTCTTCTTCCGGATGCTAGAGAGAGGCAGAATGGATTCCTCAGGCCTCTGGGGAAATAGAGTGATCTCCCTCCCTCCCCTTCTCTTCCATTCCCCTAGAAAAGTAATTAAGGTTGGTCAGGGGCTGAGATGCAAAGTTTGAGAAAATGCACTAAAAGCTACTGGCATGGGTCCAAAGTCAAGCCAGACTACCCCCAGAGATGAGAGCAAGGAATAGGGAGAAGGGAGAGGTCAGCATAGGAGAAGGAGGAATGATGAACAGTGAGTCAGAACCAGGGCCTGAGGCTGGGCTTAGCCCTGAATCTGGCTTGGGGTCCTATCCCTCAATGGTCATGCCTGCCTTGGGCTAGCAGAAGAGAACCCTATCAAGGGCCTTTGGGTACGAAAGGAAGGAAGAACCAGGTAGGGACCAGTGAAGCAAGGCCCTATTTGTCACCTGTCTAGAATTTTAGAAGCACAGAATCTTAGTAACCTAGAATCATAGACTTGTAGGACATCAGAAACATTCATTGTCCTTTAGAAACAGACTTGTAGATTCTTGGAATCTTACGAACTTAGAAAATCTTAGAAAAACAAACAAAAACAGACTTTGCAGACCTTGAAGCGCCATAGGAATGTGAGTTGTTATAATTAGGAACTTTAGAACAGTCACTGACTCTTAGAAACATACTTATGGTCAGAGACTCTTAGAAGCCTAGAAAGTCAGTATTTACCAAGCACTGTGGGCCAAGTACTACAATAGGCACTAGAGATAAAAAGACCAAAATGAAATAATCCCTGCCCTCCAGGAGCTCACATTCTATCAGGGAAATACTGTGTGCACATAGAGATGTATAAAAAAATGTACAAAGCAATATGTGGATTCTTGGAAACTTGGAATCTTAAAATAATAGAATTTCATAGCTGAAAGGGACTTCAGAGGCCATCTAGACCTGACTCTTACCCAGGGAAGGAATGTCTTATAGAGCAGGGCTTCTTAAACTTTTTCCATTCGCTACCCCTTTTCCCATTTTGGCAGTGTTCAATGGCGTTGCATGCACAGTGCAAAGTGCACATGCTTTGTGTTCAATACCAAGGCTACTGTAAAGTTGTGGGATGCAGCACGGATAAGTGCTGCCAGAAACACCTTGGATTCATTATGCATTTGATTTTGAATTAATTTTTGGTTGTTGCACATTCAGAAACCTTTTACTGTTGCCAGATTTTTCACAACTCCATATGAGATCGCGACACACAGTTTAAGAAGCGTTGTAATAATCTAGAGAGATGGTCTTCTGGTCTTTGTTTGAATACCTCCAGTGTTGAGATAGTTGCTATGGCAAGAGGCAGCTTGTTAGAATCATAGATTTAGAGCCAAAAGGGACCTCAGGGGTCATCTAGTCCAGCCCACATTTTGCAGATGGAAACTGAAGCCATAGAGGTTAGATGACTTGGCCAATGGTCACACAAGCTGTTAAGTAGCAGAGCTAAGATTTGACCCCAATCCCCTTGATTCTAAATCCAGTACTCTTTCCAGGCCCTATACTGACTCTCTAGAAGACCCATTGGTCAGTATTCTTGAACAACGGCTTTGCACAAAGCCAAATAAAACAAATGGTCTGCACCCTCAGGAAGCTTGTGTTCTTCCTGGGGAGAAAAAGAATCAAAATTACTTCTTATACCATCAGTCCATTAGTCCACAAATATTTATTAAAAGGCTATTTCATTTGTTCAACCAGGAAAAAAGACAGAGTATATGATATAAAGGAGAACATTCTAGATTGGGAGTCAGGAACGCTGGGTTCTAGTCCTAACTTTGCCACTAACTCCCTGTTAACGTTGAACTGGTCCCTTCCCTTCTATGGGCCTCAGCTTCCTCATCTATAAAATGAATTCTTAACTTTTTTTTGTCATAGACCTCTTTGGCAGAGAAGCCTATGGATTCCTTCTCAGAATTATTTTTTTAGATGCAGAAAATAAAATACATGGGATTACAAAGGAAACCAACTACATTAAAATATATAAAATATTTAAATTTTAAACAGTTTGTTTTTAAATTTTTATATTTTAATGTACTTAAATAAATATATTTATTATATATTTGAAAGAAAATTTAAACCCTAGGTGATGAACTCCAGGTTAAGAATCCCTGAACCAGATGATCTCTATGGTCCTTTCATCTCTAACTGGTGCATCTTATATCTATTTTGAGTTCCTATTGTGTGCTAAACTCTGTTGCTGAAATAATTGGGTCATAGAATTTTAGGGCTAGAAGGGACCTTACATATCAACTAGCTAATAAAATAAAATAAAATAAACTGAATCAGGAAAACAGTACACTTTGACTATCTAAGTGGAAGAACAACAGCAAAACAAGATTGAATGTTGTTTCATTATAAATGACAAAGCCTGGCCTCAGAGAAGAGATATATAAGAAGGCATTTCCGCCCTCTACCTCCTCCCCCCACACTTCTTTGCAGAGGTGGGGGACTGTCAGTGTGGAACACTGCCTGTACCTAAGACATTTTTGACATGTCAGTTACTTTGCTAAAACTTTTTCTTTCCCTCTCTTTTATTCTTAATTACACAGGATGGCACTCTGGGAAGGGTGGGAGAAGAGCTACAATGGGAAATGAAAGTGACCTGAAAACAAAAGATATTAACACAAATTTATTTTTTAAAAATCTACTAGTCCAACCTCCCACAATTTACACAAGAAGAAACTGATGCCCAGAGAGGGGAAGCGGCTTGCCTAGGGCTGCACAGTGAGTTAATGGCTGAGCCAAGACTAGAGGTCAGGTCTTCTGACTCCTAATCTAATATTTGCTTGTGCATTACAACATGGGAGGTACAAGATGATTTAGACACTAACCCTGCCTTCAAGAAGCTCACAGCCCACTATGGGAGATAAGACATGGACACAGAGAAGTATGATTGAAGGCGGGCTAAAATTATTAAGTGCCTGGTGTATGTAGAGCACTGTTGGGTACTAGGGGAGAGTAAGATAAAGTAGTGTACATCCTATGGGAAATGGACGGGGGGAGAGCTCTCTTCTGCTTAGGGGGATCAGGGAAGGCTCCAGCTATGGGGTACCACAAGCTAGATACTATCTGTAATGACCCCAGTAGTAATATCAGCAATAGCGCACATTTGCTTAGTTTATAAAGCGCTACCTTCCTATCACCTCTTTTAGGGATGGTCCCCATTTTGCAGATGAGGAAACTGGGGCTCAGAGTGGGTTAGTTGATTTGCAGTGCTGGAACCAGGATTTTAACCCCAGCCTTGGTGTCGAATCTCATGCTCTCTCTGCTGTATCGTGCTGCAGAAACTGGTTTCCCGGGGGCTAAGAGCATGTATTGGGATGACCAAGCCTCTCTCAGGGCACTGACCTGGAAGATTGGGACCTGGCATGGTGAGGAGCTGGCAATAGTGGGGTGCTGTGTGACCTCTTCAGTGGGCCTGGACTCTGGAGTTTGGGGTTTGGGGGAGGTGGCAAAGGGATGGAAGCCCGGCTGCAGAAGAGGACATAAGGGGTCAATCTAGACCAATGACCTTTAACCTGTTGGACTGGCCATAGAGTTGGAACTAACCATAGACCAAGTAGATGGCTATCTAGAAGATATTTGACCACTGACCTGTGCCTTTTTTTCTTTTCTTTTAATTTAAATTCTCCTAATTCTTTTAGGATGATCGACTGGGTATCTTGGCCCCTGGGAAAAAACATAGACAAATGGATCATCACGTTGCTAAAGGGCCTAGCAGCCGTTAAGAAGTTCAGCATTTTGATTGAAGTCTCTCTCTCCAAAATAGAGAAGGTCAGCACCCATTCTAAACTCCCTCTTAGGACCTGGGGCAAAAATCCCACTACAAGGGGCCTGGGGAAAACTAGAGCTACTGGAAGAAATGGACGTGGCCTTGACAGGCTCCATCCCTAGTGGGGACTTGTGTGGTTTAGTGAGAAGAGTACTGGGAGTCAGGAGACAGGCCCCCTAACTCACTATGTGATTTGGGGCAAATCATTTCCCTGGGTCTTTCTCACCTTTGAAATGAGGAGGTTGGGTTAAATGATCTCTAAATTCCCTTACAGTTCTCATACTGTATGACCTAAGGTTCCTCCCAGTTCTCACATTCTCTGTTCTAAGGTCCCTCCCAGCTCTAACATTGTGGGTTCTAAGGTCCCTCCCAGCTCTGACATTGTGCGTTGTAAGGTCTCTCCCAGCTCTGACATTGTATGTTCTAAGTTCTGTCCCAGCTCTGACATTCTCTGTTCTAAGGTCCCTCCCAGCTCAGATATTTTGGGTACCAAAGCCCCTCCCAGTTCTGATATTCTCTGTTCTAAGGTCCCTCCCAGCTAAGACATTTTGGGTTCTAAAGCCCCTCCCAGCTTTGACATTCTCTGTTCTAAGGTCTCTCCCAGTTCTGACACTCTCTGTTCTAAGCTCCATCCCCACCCCAGCTCTGATGTTCCATGTTCTAAGGCCCCTTCCAGCTCTAACACTGTGTGTTCAGTGTTCTAACATTCTGTAGTCTAAGATTCCTTCACGTTCTAACATTCTATATTAGATTATATAGAAAAGCCTTTGCTCAGTATTGGGTATACAAAGATAAATATGGCATAGACCTATTCTGAAAGAACTTACAATCTAATGGGAAAGATATGTACACAAATAACTATAATACGAGAGAGAGAGAGAGAGATAAAGACAAAGGAAGGTTCTTCCCAGCTCTAACATTCTTTGTTCTATGCTCTCTTCCAGTTCTGACATTGTGTTTTAACAGTCTATATTCTAAGGTTTCATCTGTTCTAATATGCTCTGACTCTGTGAACCCTCCATTAAACAGCTGTGTGCACAGAGGCACCTTTGGCACTGAGGGGGAGGTGGAGACTAGTAAGATAAAGTCCACTCCTCACTCTCCGGACTTCTCCACCTCCCTGCCAGCAGCCTTCTCCACCCTGGGGATGCCTTCACCCTGCGGCTCTCTCTTCTGATTGGTGAGTCTCTGGTCCAGTCCACCATTTCATGAGGTGCCCAGGCCATGCTTACTTCACTGCTGACTCCGCTCCTTACTCTCCGGATTTCTTCACCTCCTCATCAGCAGCAGCCTTGTTCCCCTCTCTTCACCACTACCCCTCCTCCAGTTTTCCAGCTCCCCATTTTTGTAGTCTTCTTCCATTAGAGTGTAAGCTCCTCAAGGGTAAGGACTGACTTGTTTGCTTGTATTTGTATCTCCAGCTCTTAGCACACTGCCTGACACATAGTAAATGCTTAATAAATGCTTGTGTGCTTTCTCTCCCTCTCTCTCTCTCTCCCTCCCTCCCTCTCTCTCTCTCTCCCTCCCTCTCTCTCTCTCTCCCTATCTCTCTCTCTCTCTCCCTCCCTCTCTCTCTCTCCCCCTCTCCCTCTCTCTCTCCTTCCCTTTCCCTCTCTACTTCTTTCTTCCTTTTTCTTTCTTTTTTCTCTTTATTCATCCTCTCCTTCCTCTCCCCCTCTCCCTTTCTTTCTCTTTATTTCCTTTTCTTTATTTCTCTTTCTTTTTCTTCTTCCTCGGAAATTTCTTTTTCTTTCTCTCATCTATCTATCTATCTATCTAAACCCTCAGGGAGTTTACAGTTTAGTAGGGTAGTAAGGCTATAGACATGAACTTGGTTAGTTAGCTCCAGTATGAGCTAGGATGTGAAATAGTCTTTTAAAAGTGGGACTCATTATGAAAACTCTGAGAAAAGAGAGCCCTTTAAGCTAGGGCAGATCAGGGAAGGCTTCTTAGGAGTGGTGGCCAAAGTAGACTTATCTAGTACTGCACAGGGGCCATAGGGGCCTCAAGGTTAACAATTAAAAAGTGTTATATAGCAATTAGGTACAGGTTCAAAACAGGTGCTTACGTGTGGCATCCTGAAGATCATGTGGTCACCCCACCATTCCTGTCCCTTATTTCTGTCTAGGCCATCACTTAGATCAGTTTCATGCATAATCATCACATGTTACAACATATAAATAAGGATTCATATTCATGAATACCCCACGTTCTGTCAATGAGTCCTTATTTTTACTTTATCATGGAGGAATTTGACCACAGCCTCCATCTCCACACTGCGCAAGCTCTGCTAGGTTCTCCAAAGGTAGAAAGACTTTGGGGTCCTGCTACTGCCCATGCCTGTGATCCAAAGATTGAACTAGCTGAGTGTGGATACCAGGGGATCAAGGTTTTTGATTGTAACAATTCAAGAAGAAATAAAAGGTTTGGCATCATCACCAAGATAGGAGTAGTAGTAACACCAAGGAAATAATAATCTGACAACTGAGATGAAAGAACCTTCAGAGGGTATCAAATCCAGCCCACATCCATGCAGGAATCCCCTGTGCAGCCAGTGGTCCTCAAGCCTTCCAGTGATCAGGCGCAGCCCCACATTCATTCATTCCCTTTAAGGAAACCTCTAATTGTTAGGCAGTTAGGATAAAATTTCCATGTATTGAGCTTAAATCTCTCTCTCTACAACTTCTGCCCATTTGCCCTGGCATAGGAGAATTCCTCCTGAACACAGTTCCTTTTAATGTGCGCTAAGATTGTCTTAGCTTTTTTTTGGCTGCCATTACGACTCATATTGAGCTCAAGATCTTTTTCACAAGAACTGTTGTCTTGTAAAATTTTTGCAATTTTGTACTTTAGAGGCAGTGTAGTTTAGTGGGAGAAACCCCAGAGCTGGAGTCGGGAGAAGCCTCCATAGAAATCCTGTTCCTGACCCTTAGCTTCAAGGCCATGGGCAAGTCACATTGCCTCAGTTTCCTCATCTGTAAAATAGGGATAACAATACCTGTAATAATACTTCATAGGGTTACTGAGAGGACAAAATTGTATAATTCATGTAAAGTATTTTGTAAACCATAAACACTAGTCACTCCTGTTTTGCAATTGGGTTTTTTAACCTCAGGGTACTTTTTATTTATTATGAATAACTATCACATCTGACATATACTGTCTGTGTGATAAAGTCATTTATCATCTTTATGCTCCAGTCAGCTTTCCAAGACTGTAAGTTATAGACAAATTGCTAATCTATATTGTTGGAGCAAGTCACCATACCAGGAGTTCCCTACACCAATGAAATCATAGGCCTATAGATATTCTATCTGTCATCTATGTATCTATCTATTATCTATCTATCATCTATCTAGCTATCTTTCCATCTAGCTATCTATTGTCTATCTATCCATCTACCTATCTACCTATCTGTCATCCATCTTCATCTAGCTATCATCTACCTATCATCCATCCGTCTCTTTATTATATTCTAGGTGATTAAATATTATTAGATCTTATCTTTCTAACCTATAGAAATGTTTTTGCACCCTGATTCTGTCATCCAAGAGTTAGCTGTCCCTTCTAGCTTCTTGTCATCTGTAAGCTTGTTAGGTGCTCCATCTATACCATCTACAAGGCATTGATAAAAATATTGAGTGACAGAAGACCAAGAACAGATTCCTTGGAAACTTCATTTGTCTTCTCTTAAATTGACACCAACCCATTAGCTCCTATTCTTTAGGTCTCATTCAAATCTACCTAGATATAATCTCCTTTTGCCCATATCGCTGTGTCGTATCTATAGGAAGAGGATGAGACTCTTTGCTATATGCCAAGTTTATTATGTCTATGGCATTCCTGATCAAACAGTCTAGTAGCCCTGTCATAAAAGGAAATAAAACTAGTCTGACATGACCTATTTTTGATAAAGCCGTGCTAGCTCTTTGAGATTCCTACTGCCCTTTCTGAATATCCATACACAACTCTCCTTTAGTAATACTTCTTGGAATTTTGCTAGGAATTGAAGTCAGGCTCATCAGTCTATGGTTTTAAGACTCTATCTTCTTCCCTCTTTTTGAAAATGGGAACAGCATTTGCCTAGTTCTCATGACACTTTTCCCACTTCCAAGATTTTTCAGAGATCACCAACAGCAACTCAACGATCCTGTCTGCCAGTTCCTTTAGTATCCTGGGACATCGGTTGTCTGGACCTTATCTCTTGAATTCCATCTTGGATTCAACTCCCCATCCATCTTTTTTGTTCTCTCTTTTCCAGTTACAGCATTTCTGCACAGAGAAAATAAAAACATAATAAGAGTTGAGTGGTTCTACTGATTCTCTCTCCATCTGTGGTCAAATTCCCATCCACCTTGAACAATGATGGTCCTAGCCTCCCTTTGATCTTGTTTTAGCTTTCTTCTGAGAGTTTAGCTTATTCTGAGCTCTGGTGCTTCTGATGTTAATCTTATAGTACTTACCACTCCTTTGTATTCATTTTCAGTTACTAGCCCTTGCTTTCATTTTCTATACACATCTTTACAAAATCTAAATTGACCAATGAATTAATTTCCTGTGCATCTGTGTCAATCTCGTTAATTTTTCCCCTTTTTTTCTGTTTGGAATAATTTCTTTTCCTGCCTTTGGAATTTTATTCTTGAGGATACCCCTCCCTTTGTGGGCTGATTATCCTAGGCAAAAGTCATTCTTTATATGGGACAACTAGGTTAGTAGATAGGGCACCAGACCTGGAGCCAGGAAGACCTGAGTTCAAATCCAGCCAGAGACACTTACTAGCTGTGTGACCCTGGGCAAGTCATTTAACCCTGTTTGGCTCAGTTTCTTATCTGTAAAATGAGTTGGAGAAGGAAATGATAAACCATTATTTTTGTTAGGAAAACCCTAAATGGAGTCATGAAGAGTTGGATATGACAATTCTTTATCCAACAAATTCTTTATCCAAATTCTTTGAAATTTTTTCTCTCCAAATAGAGGATGTGAGACTATACCTTGTTTTCCA